TATCAGCTTGTATTAGACATGCTTTCAGGTTTTCATCCAACTGCCAGTTAGAAACCGATGGCATTTCTGCCCTTTCCTCTCATTAGGGACTTGCTGTTCTGTACCTGCAAATCTTCATCCCTCATCAGCCAGAGATACGAAAGCAGAAATCTCATCTATAATAGTAGTATCATGTACATCCTATTAAAGAGGACAGATAACATATTCAGAAGCGCCTCAGGGCCACAATTTCAGAGACATGTGTAGTGCTGAAAGATGCAGGTGAAAGACTCCGGGGACTTTCCAAAGCCCCCAGCTGCATAACTCCCATTGATTTCAGTTATTCAAATGAAAAATTATTTAATGTATTTGTTCCAGAGCTGAAGTTTCACTTAAAGTCTGGGAGAGACATAATCCCATGGGCTCATTTTTAAAACTGATTTCAAAGGCAGGTAAATGACTAAATACTCAGATAAATGTAGCCCAGAGTGAGGTATAAATCCTACTGAGGGTCTATCTCCCTTTGAAGTAATGGCAGTTGGGTACTTATCTACTTTCAGGAGACAGGTTCTAGCATCGCTAACATTTTGGCCATATATCCATTACACAGATGTAACAGAGGCTAACCCCTAAATACTGCAATATCACATCGATTACTGTAAAGGAATGGAAAGGAAATTAAAGACACTTGCCCCTGAAAATTGTCCAAAAATTAAAAAATGTACACACTTTGTAAGCAAATTCTTCCAAAAAATATACAGGGATGGCAATTGCCAGCATTACAAGAGGAGGTAACTGAGGAATTCGGGAATACTATGGAGGAAGACAGACAAAAGATACAAGAAAAGCTAAAACAGGGGCCTCACCAGGAAAAAAAAACAACAACAATTTGAAGAGAAGCATGAAAGTTGAAGACTTGAAGTCAAGACAGATGGAGCCAATAGATTCAAAACCATTTGTAATGGAGCTTATTTCAGGAGTCTTTGCTATTTGGAACGGCCGAAATATTCCAGGTTCGCATATTCTACCTCTGCCTGTTTAGGAAGTCTGTTTTGAAGATATCCATCCTGGATGTGACCCTAAACACAGGACTGTAGAGACTGAAATATTCACTCCAAGCAATACTGCAAGCCCAGTCAGGTAAAGGTACCGGTGAGTGCCAGGTCTGCTGCTCTTCTACCGCAGGCAGCAAATGTCCTGCTTAATCCTGAAAACTACTTTAAAGAGGGTTATGAAACAATCAGAGAATTTCAGCCCCAGGGCTGGCTACCACCAACGCCCACTTCAGCTCACTAACACCCATTCAGCACCCTGCTCCTCCTCCCAGAGCATCTGCAGTGAAATCTTTTTGTTTCCCAAGGAACTAGATAATTCTCCAATTCTTCTAGCCTCGCGCTTTTCTAATATTTCCCAAACGCTGCTACGAGCAAATAAAATCCCTGGGATTTTTAGCCACCTTCTTGCTGAAATTAAATTACCTCCCCTGTTCTTGAGTAAACTACAGAGCTGCAAGATACCGCCCAAGCATCTCTCCTCTGTTGCAACGCTCCTGCATGCTATAAATACGAAGTTAATTTGTGCAATGTGTGGGCTCACGCTTGGAAATGCAGAGGACCGGGCGAGCTAATATCCTTCCCAGGAAAAAACACAGCATGACGTACGAAAGAAAACGGTTCAAGCGAGAGGCAGCCGAGGGCCTCTAAAGCAAAACACAATGGCATTTTTCCAAAGATGGACTGAAGGTCCCGATGGTGCCGAGCAGAGAAAAGAGGGGATGTCAAGAGAAAGCAGAGTTTTTGTCTGAGGAAATAACTGGAGGATGAAAAGGGGATGGCAAGAGGCCGAGCTCACTGCGGTGCAACGGCTGGCGTACAGTCAGGCGATACGTGGCTGCAGCCCAAAGTGTTAAAAATCCTCTGGCGTCTATCACCATTCGTTTGGGACTGACTTCATTTCCAAACTTTTGGATAAATACTAGCACAGCTATTCAAGATGGCCAGGACACCCGGCCCCTGTTTTTTCTCACTTTATAGTTTTTAGGTGTGGACTGTAACACATCCCTTAAGCAGCACAAAACAGATTTACTGCGTAAGTCGTTGCACTGGGCTTGAAAAAAAGATATTGTTTTGATTGGGTTGTGATAGGGTCCCACCCAAGATCCCTGGGAAAAGTTAATTAAGGACAACTGCTCATACCATCACACACAGCAAAATCAAGCAAAGTGGGGAGAAGCAGCCATGCTGGGAGTTGCTTCTGGGAAAGTGATTTCATGCCTTCAGGACCTTGGGCATAAGGGAGGGAGGAATCACCTGGGATTTATTTCATTTTTAGAACCACAGAAATTCAACTATTTGATCACCCTCTTATCTCCAGTAAATACTTCCACTACTTTATTTAGTTACTACTCATTCTTTGATTTTATGCTTGCTACCTTGTTACTGTACGAAGCTAATTGATTTTATGCTTATTGCCTTGTTACTGTACTAAGCTAATTGATTACATCCATAAAACCAGCAGGGTTCACACAATCTGATGGCTATGGTAAGGCCTTCCACCAGATTTAAAAAGACAGCTGGAATTTTTTGGAGCTGTCTCTTCTTTTTCAGCTACCCTTGGACCTCCGCATCTCATTAGAAACATACTGTCTATACGTGACCCCTAACAGCTAGAGACCCCAAAGCTTTTTATATTATAAAATATAAGTTTATTTTTCTACAAAAGAAAATAAATACTCAAGGAGGTAGAAGAGAGGACAAAGGGGGAGTCACTGTGTGAATTTCAGCAAAAGAGACCAAAGCAATGGTCTATACAGAAATTCACCTTGCATCCATCTAGCAAGGAGGGCAAGAGCTGGAGGAGCTGCCAGCTGAAGTTACACTGCCAAGAGGTTCTGTGTTGTGATGTCCCTCAACACAATACAGGTCCCCAGCATCGCTTGGTATCTGCAGTAACAACCCCTCCTCTTGCCTCTCTGTACTGGAGCAAAGCTTGGACAGCTGGAAACAGAACTGGTTACCAGCACCCACCCCTCTGCTAAAACACAGACTCTAACAACCAGCCGTGTTTTGAAGGAGGAAAGAACAGGACAACACTGATGACTGTCAAAGACTACCCAGAGCCTCCTCGAGAGGCCTGGCGGATTTCAAACAGCTCTTCAGATCTTGGACACAAGGTAAGGGACACATCCTCAGTCCCCAAAAGAGATGTTTCCACCTCAAATCTCCCAACAGAACAACTACTGCCTATGCCAAGAGCTGCTACAGCCCTCTGGGCACGGTTACACAGACTGCACTTTCTAAACCACTTGCAGAGACAGAATGCATGAGAGTTGTTATTTCTTACAATTAGTGTGTTGGATGGTTTGCTAAAATTAGGAAAAAGTATATTCCAGAGCTGGAACATTTATGGCTTCTTTACCGTTACTGTATATTTTAATTCTTAAAAATAGATTTAAGTGACATGATAAGTAAAGAGTCCAGTTTAATCTATTTCAGCCTGTTTGCCACATTCCTGGTTTGGCCTGTTTGGTTTGGTAATTTAGAGATGTATAAAACCATCTGTTTCACTGTAGACTTTGTTTTAAGTCTCAGAGGAAACAAACCACACAAATAAATGAAATTCACTGTGTCATTTCTGTTAGAATATATGTATTTACATCCATCAGAGCAGACACTAAGTATCCTATAACTCTAATGTTAGTACAGACTTTTAACTGTTTACGATACTGTTATAAAAAATCAGTGCAACTGAATTTATATCACACCAGGGATTTTCTTAAATTGTATTCCACCTCTCATTTAAAATGAAAAACAGTGACATTCTACACATTGTTAAAAGAACGTAATAAAAAAAAGGAAAAAAACCAACCTTCATAATTAAAAAAATACATCTTGGGAAAAATACAAACCAGGCAAATATACCTAATAGCCTGGATTTCTGTCCATGTATCTGCCTCTGCGGTTTGTAATGCCAAGAAGTCAGCTACAGACACTCATCCCCTTGACATGACTGTAAACTTCAGCAGTCATACTCTATTTGTCAAAATCAGAGCAGACGTACAATTTTTCACTCAACAATATTTCACTTAGAACATACATTTACTGAACCTCAAGTTTTTACAGAAGCGTGTTTTATTGAGAAGAGACTCCTGTTCCAGATGAGAGCAAGAAGGAAGAAAGTCATCCCCAAATGTTTTGCCTATGAAGGGGACTACCACTCACTTCCATTTTTTGGCCAGAAGAATAAAACATATTTTGATTTTGATTTATAATAGAGATGATTTTTCAAAACTTAATTCATTTCCCACAAAATAGAGTCCTTGCTTACTGACTGGGGTACTAGAGAGCTACTGTCTGCTGTGCTGGTATTTAGAAAGAAAAAGTAGTTCTTTCAAATATAATATTCTCTAATCTCTTTTCATCACTACTACACTATATAGTCTGTTGCACAAACAATGGTTCTGAGGATTTAATATTTAAATAAGGAAACCTAAAGATGCCACTCATGGAATACTAAATCAATTTAAGAAAGTTCAGTGGTACACTGCATAACAGTTTACTGTGAGGTGAACAAGGAGTAGGTAGGTGGCCTGGGACCTGAAGTGGTTATTGAAGAATCAAAGAATTTAACTGAGTAGTTTTAAAAATGTATAAGCCAATCAAAGTTTCTAATAGAACTTTATTTGAAGACAGTTCTCCAAACCATGCTTTTCAGCAGGGAGCTTAGGTTAAGGGAATATACATCTAAAACGTAATGACTTCCAAGAACCTGAGCCCCTGACCCTGTGCCCCCATCCACCAAAGCACACAATCAGGACTTTGAACATTTTAAGAGTCCCACAGTCAGCTTCTTCCTTGGCCCCTTTTGGCTTTTTTTGAAAGTGGCCTGGATTTTCCTCCTAGAATTATTTTATCCCCTGCTATGAGAAAAATCTGTTATGTCTTATTCAAATGGCTCAACCAACCCACACCCGCTGTCCTTTCAGGGCCTTCCCACAGCGCAGTTAGCGGGGCTGTACTCACAATGTTCATCAGGGTCAGCAGGTACTTCTGAACGTGTTCTTTCCCATGGAATTGAACAACTGAGTCATCAACCCCCAGAAGGACTTCGATGTTGTAATCATCATCCGTCGCGTGCCTTCGATAGCGCTGCCTCGACCTGTGCACCCGCTCTTCGATAAAGCTCAAGGCGCCGTCGAGACCATCCAAGTTCGTGAGGTTGGCGGCTGAAATCAAAGACACAAACCAGTTATCAGCCAAGAGAGGTTCAGGCTCAGGTCCCAGCTAAGCTGGTATAAATTTGAAGTAGCAGCATGTGTTATGTTCTCTGTGTTATATAACAGCGCTAGTTTTCACTCAATGTCAATTAAAAAGGACCTAAATGAGGGAGAAATCTGACCCAAAGGATTTTCACTTTGCAAAGTAAAAGCAATGCCTTCTACAAAGTAATATTGTGTAATAAATACAAGGCCAAAAGGATAGCAAGTCATACCAATGTCTTGATGAGAAGAATGGAGCTGTTTGCAGTAAAATACTTGTGGCTTAAAAGTACTTGTAACAAAAATACACCGTTCAGGGGTCTTGTGCTACCAAGGATATCCTCCATTTCAGAACCACAATTAAAGGCAGACATCACACTTCAAAATCTGATCTTGCTGCCCACAGAATCCTGTTTCAAAGCAAGTGCAGTTGCCAATACAGCCTTTTCCTATCCAGGTGGGTAGTAACAGACCAATCCCTCCCGCTTCAACTTATTAGCTCCTTTCCTAGATACACACGTGTCATTCCACATTAGAGACATGGATCCTCTTTATCACTACAACTCAGGGACACATTTTAGATATGAAATTAACTTATAGCTACATTCACAATTTTTTAAACAGCTTTTCACCCTTCATTCCCAATTTGTCATGTCACTTTGCATTGTTGTACATCAAAGACCAATCCATCAGGCCTAACAGCAGCCAACTTTATTACTAATGATTTCTAATAGGCTCCTGTGATATGAAAAGCACGTTCTCTGACAGGATAGGATACAGTTAATGCGGCACCTACGTACTGAAAATTAACATGAAAATATGGAATCTTGACATTTCGCCCTATAGAATAACAATGATTAGCATTAATATCATCATTATCATTTGCATCACAAGACCACTGGAAGCCCCAGCGAGAACCTCTTGATTTCAGTGAATGTCAGGAAAATACTTGCTCAGAGAGGCACAGAAGGCGGGCAGAGCGCCGTGGACTGATTAAAGGCTCCCGGTGCTTAGTTCAGAGAAACATAATAGGAAGCGAAGGGAGGAAGCTAAAGCCATCACCTTCAAAGCAGAAATAAGAAACAAGTCTTGGAAATGTTACAAAAGTGGATTCTCCATCTTCACTTATTGAAGTTTTCACATCAAAACTGGCTGCTTGGAAAGGGATGAATGAGTCACCAGATCACTGGGCTCATTACAAGAACATCTGTGCGCTTGCCTGGAGACCGCCGCCTCGGGCTGCCATTTCAGCAGGTCCTGAGCAGAAATCCCCACAGCTCCTTGCTGTGGTGACAACAACATCCCGACCTGTACAGCCTCCAGCTGCCAGGAGGGATGCACACCCAGCATCTCTGGCCCCCACCACCACATTCCTTACTGCCTGGTGCTTCAGGCTGTGCCTTGAGTGTGCAATGCCCAAGTTGGCGAGATGCTTGTGTCTGTGCCTCCTAGAAGAGACCACCAGCCAAAGGACAGTCCCCAAAAGACATATTTGCCTGGGCAACTTTTTACTATTTCTCCACCGAGCTCCAAGGACATGCTTATCATGAGACCCACAGCTGAAGGCCACCACACTGCCCTGGCAGAGCTCCCCTCGCCCACCGGACAGACAGAATGCCCCATGCGGTGGTCCTACATCCCCATGGAGTCACAACGTCCTTCTCCTGGGAGAACAGGATTTAATGCAGCTAATAAGCACAACCACCATGTTCTTATTGCCAGCCTCAAGGCTCTCAGCAGCTTCTGCTCCTGGGGCCACGAGTTTTTAAAATTAGTCTGGTCAGAATCCATGATTCAGCATGAAAATTCACTCTTCACGCAGAGCCCAGCTGTCATCCCCAGGTTTACCGTGGAGGGAAAAACAGGTCTGGCCTTGCAGTGATGGAGACAGCTCTTTATCAGGGCTCAAATCCTGCCAGGCAGCCAGCTCCAGCCCTACCTCATGATTTGCTCCACTGGGAAAACTTCAGTGTTAATCCCTACTGGTGCCCAGAATTAACTACCCAGCTACCACAGTGGTCTCGGGGGATTTGCTATGGGATCACGGCAAAACCATACGTTCATGATCCCTAAGGCCAATCCCCGTTACTGTAAAATTTGAACATAACTCTTAAAAGCTCTCTAGAAAAGTAAGACTAGGCTGGCAAGGGCTGCAGGTCGTGTCCTCTCTCTGCTGCTCACAAAACCCTACAGTAATCAGCAGCCAGACAAAGCTATCAGAGCTGCTATTGCAGCCCAGCGGTGCTGGGCAGGCAGGGAGAGCCTGAGCCCTGCTGGCTGGGCAGGCTGTTATTTGCTGGATTTTGGTCGGCTGTTAAGGTATCTAGGGCTTTTGTGCTTTCATTTCTTTCCCTTATGTGTCAAAGTCAAACTAACTCCTTGTGCGGTATCTTTATTCCTGCTGTGAGCAAATCAGCCAGAGGCAAAATGTGATCCCACCCTCCTGCATTTACCATCCTGCCGTGAAAACTGCCTGTCCTCCCTCTTTGCTCCTCACCTCATCACTGTCACTCCATAGCCCTTACAGTCCTGCCAGCTCCTGAGAAAAGTTATCAGGAGGATCCCTAGGAGTTATCTCACTGCCAGGGGGTGCCAGCCAACTACTTTAAAATTTGCTTGGAGCATAAAAAAAAATCCCCACACCCACATTTACCTTCACGCTTCAAGTGTCACCCCCTCAAGACAACATGCCCAGTGGGCAACTGGTACCTCTGAGGCACCGACCTGATGTGCTTCCCAGCAGAGAGTGAGCTGCACCGGCTCCAGCTGGCGCTGGAATCATCCCAAGACCAGCAGCACAGCTCAAAACATTTCTAACAGTAGCTGCAAGATTTTTGATTCATATCCCAAGTTCCCACCAGGCGTCCTTTCCCGGGAGGCTCTCTGGGGACAGGCAGGGATGTCTCCACACACAGCCTGACCACACATCACACGGACTCCTCCAGCACTGCTCTGCCTCTCTCTTGGATGATGACTTGTTGGATTTGGGGGCCCAGGCTGTGTCATACCCATGTTGGATTTGCTCCTCAGTGACAGTTATATCCAAGTCAAATTCATGCCTGTATCTTACAGCAGAGGAAGTGAAACAAAGAGACATCTATCGTAAATTAGGAATATATCATGTTTCGGTATCTCAGCTTTCCTCTGTTAACACCAGTAACTTTGCTGTATCATTGTACTGCTAACAATATGCTATAAAAGCTCAAGTGAAAAAACTCAAAGAACCAAATAAGACACCAAACTCCTTCACATTTTCCACGTTACAGTCCTTTGATCACCCCTGCACTTCGCACAATAACATCCCAAAAGTAATCTCAAACTGCACTGTGTTTTACTAAATCATCCCAAGATCACTCCATCAGATGTTCATTTTCAGCAGCTCTTGCCAAATCAGTGCATCAGCCACTAATTACTGGTGCCAACTTTGTTTTCCATCTCCCAAGAGCAGACACTTGGCATTTGCAGGGGCTAACAATAGCCTGTGTTGAAACCATCTCCTTGCTCCCGCTAGTAAAAATTCACATTTGTGAAAATTAACCACTGAGATACAAGGCTGCACTTTTGTCTTGGGCTGCTCATCCAGAATAAATCAAAAGGACAGCAGCACTGTAACAGTTCATCCAAAAATCCCTCAAAAAACCTTTTTTTCTAAAGCCAGCTAAAACCTCATTGATATTTCAGTGATTTTCTCCTAACGCTGCAGACCGTCTTTCAGTGAAGGAATAAAAAGTGCCCAAACTGTCGATAGAAGGAAAACTTGTGCTTCTGGCTGAAGTATAAAATATAAAATCCCTCTGCTCTGCTCCCTTATCCCAAGCAATGTGCAATATACCGATCTTTTACCTAAACTGTTCCATTTTTCAATCTGGTATTTTAATTTTTGTATCTGGGCTCTACCCAAGCTCCCAAATCCACTGGGAGGCAAGGTCTGAACACCCAGTACCACGGCAGCATCCCGCAGCCTGTCTCCGATCCTCAGCCCTAGGTCAGGGAAAATTCACATTGATACAAACATCAGGTTTGTCTTTGCAGGCTCTTCAGGAGCATCCTCCATCAGTGACAGTTTGGGATGTCTGACACCACCTTATTTTCTGGGAATTTTTGTCTTGCTCATTAATCTTTGACATCATGTGCTTTACAGAAACCTAATTACATGACATCTCCTGATTCTGCCTTACCCATCGTGGCAGGCAAAGCTCAAACAGATGCTGTGAGTTGCTGAAGCATGAACACACTGCCTGCCACGAAAACCGCCTCTCCCCGTGTCTTCTGTCACTCCCTTTAGGACATCCACCAAAAGTACAGTTGCTGGCATGAGGTCTTGTTTTGTTTTTTCATGACCCCTTTCAAAAAGGCTCAGGGAAACATGGCTGCATCTACAGTTCTTAAAGAGTCCCTGAGGAAGCTACTGCACTTTAATAGTACCAGCCTTAGGGTTCCCCAATCTCACAGCAGCAATATTGTCCTAATAAAACATTTTTGCATTTTTTACCTCCTCTTTCTGGTAGGGGCAAAGGGACTTTCTGGCAAGCCCAGAGCAGAGAGCAGGACAGGCAGGTGGGAAACTGAACTGTGTGTCATGTTCAGAGCCATCATCTGCAGCTTCTCAGCACAGCAACTCACTGGAATTTCATTTCAAATACGAGTGGGCAGCATTCAGACCCGCCAGCCGCCGTTTCAAATGCAGCTTGTTTGCTTTGGCGGACACTTCATCTGTCATGGCAGGAGCAGACAAACACCTGAGCCGACTGCTGAGCATCTTCCCTGCAGCCTCACGAGGATGAGCACCTCTGCCTGGCTGTTTTGCTGCTGATCTCCATTCCTGGGACACCCTCCTGAAGGGATTCCTGGCTTCCCATTCCTTCATGTGGCTTTCTGGAAGCCACCAGATTTATTTTTTTTTTTTTTGTCTTCTTTTTTTTTTTCCTTTTTAACCCCAGCAAAGAATAGCTGGAGACTGTTCTGTT